ACCTCCCTGGATTCAGCACCGATAGGCCAACCAAGTGGCAACGTGGGAATGAGTATCCATAATGACTGCGGGTGCACGGTATGGAGAGAATGAGGGATGAGGGATGGATTGGAAGGACGGAGGATGCGGAGGAGAGAGGGAGAGGGGACTGGAGTGAGGAAGAGAAGCCTGCGACAAACGGCACAGACCGTATCTAGAGGACGCAGGAGGAATACGACGACGACGAAGCGAAACCGCTCTCAAAATAGCATGGTTCCGAGACGTTTGGTGATCCTCCAAGTCGGACGTAGGCGGTAAGCGTGGACTGGCCTACGGTATCAACATATTTCAAGAACGCCCATATATATATATATATATGTAAATATAGGAGTGTATATATATATATATATATACATGGACACGCGCTGCTCTCTTTGCGAGCTGCAGTTCCCTCATCCCCATCCCCCATCTCGGGGTCATGCTTGACGCAATGAAGGACGAGCAGGCGAGAACTGAACTGAAAACATGCAGGCAACATGCGAGGCAACACGCTCCTCCTCCAATGTCCCTCGGACATGCTGCAGGCCGCGTGAATCCGACTCCGGCTGAGTCTCGATGTCCCTGGAGAAACGCTCCCGCATGTTTACTTAATCGCTTCGCTCACTCTGCCGGCCCACTTCGCACCACAGTGGCTGCACGGTGGTGTGCTCGTACCCATGGGGAAGGGTGGGGCAGGCAGGACAGTCCTCGAGGAGATCTTTGGAGATGTGGCTCGCACCCTGTCGAAGAGAGCCGATCTACTTCCCCAGAGGGCGCCAAGATGGCTCAAGAGAGCTCCAGCAAAGTTTCGAAACGTACCTGGGTTGTGGGTCAGAGTCCTCATGGACGCTTCTTGGGGTCTCTTCGGTGGGCTCTCGGGAGCCTCTGGGGAGCAGTTTTGAGGCATCTGGAGAGCCTCTTGGGGGCTTCTTGGGGGCCTCTTGTGGCTTCCTGGGGGCCTGCTGGGGGGCTCTTGGGCATCTGGGGGCCTCCTGGGCGCCTCTTGGGGCTGAGAGTTCGAAATATGTGTGTTCGGGTACCCCTCTGGGCCCCCTCTTGGGGACATCCTGGGGTCGTCTTGGAGGCATCTTGGGTCGTCTTAGGACCATCTTGGGCCATGTGGGGGCCCTCTTGGAGGCTTTTTGTATTGTTTTGGATCGATCTTGGGGCCTCTTGGGCCGTCCAGGGCGGTCGGCAGTTCGAAAAGGCGGTACTGCCAACATCGTTCGAAAACCAAAGCGAAATCAATGCTTTTTGCGTTTGCTGGGCCTCTCGAAATCCTCTTGGAACCTTCCTGGCGCGTCTTGGGCGCTTCTTGGGCCGTGTTGGGACCAATGTGGGCCGTCTTGGAATGCCCTTGGCCTGATGCCGTGGGGCGTGCCACCCTTTTGGCGCTTCATTGGGGCGCTCGGGGGGGGCCCCAAAGCCGCGCGCAAGAATTCGGGCATCTCTGACCCGACCTTGCCGGGACCTTGCCCGGACTTGCCGGGACCTTGCCTGGACCTGGCCAGGGCACTCTTCGTCCACGGACCCCCAAAGGCCGCCACGCGCGCGCTGAGTAGAAGCATTCGTAAGTTCTTACCGGAGATTTTAGGACGCCTCTGGCCCGTTGGGCCGGCGAACATCCTCTTCATGCACAGGCTCAGCAGCGAGACTACGTAAGCATTGCCCCCCCCTCTTCCTCCTTACCTCACGCTCCTTCCTTGTGCCTCCTCCTTCCTCGTCCCCCGATCCATCCAACAGGAACTCGCAGCGGCGATGAAGCGCACGCCGCCAGGACTTAGCTGAGCAATTCTGATAAATCCGATCGAGCCCTCAACACATTCTGTGGTGACTCCATATGGGAACGTACGCTCATCCCCAGAACTTGCTCAAGGAGCCTGCACTTTTGAGGAGTCTTGGTTGCGGTCAAGGCACCCGAATCCGTGCGTGGAGGCCTCTCTACGACATGGGAAAGGCAACGGACACTGTCAGCGGGGTCCCGCGCAATGTTAACGGCGCCCTCCTCATTCACACGTCTCCTTCTTCTGCGATGTGGACCACTGTCGCGTGCGAAGCACGCGGGGTACGCAAAGCGAAACCCTCTCATCCGCATGCTTCTGGGCGTCGTGGCCACGCGAACAGCGACGCGCGGCGGAGTCAAGCCGATAGGGGAGAGGGGATGCGCGCGGGGCCCTCGCGCAGCCGCCGGGTGGGGTGGCGCAGAGTTCGCCAGAGGCAACCTCGCTGCGCAAGGACTCGCGGGGGGGGGGGGGGCAGCCGTGAGAGGGGACGAGCGGGGACGGACTACAAAACGGCATGCCGACAGGAGGGTGCAGCAGTGACGGGGCCGAGGCCAAGCAAGCGAGGGGCGCAAGCAATGGAGGAGATACGGGCAACAAGGGGCGGGAGGCGCACCCGGGGACCATGAGGGACACCGACGATGCGGTACCCACCCACCCAGCCACCTACACACACGCACACGCACACGCACACGCACACGCACACGCACACGCACACGCACACACACGCACACGCACACGCACACGCACCGACACCCACACCCAGAGCCATAATCATAACCAGATTCATAACGAGAGCCAGAACCAGACCCAGACCCAGACCGAGACCGAGACCGAGACCGAGACCCAAACCCAGACTCAGACCCAGACCCACACACACCCACACACACACACACATACATTCCACACCAGCAGTCAGTTGGCCCATCTGGGCCTGCTGGCCGCTCCCCTATGAGGCCCATCCAAGCACACACACACACGCACACGCACACACACACACACGCACACGCATACACAACACACACACACGCCACACATAGCACACAATACACAACACAACACACAGCACACACAACACACGCACACCACACAACACACACACAAGACTCAACATGCAACACACAACACACAACACACAGCACACAACACGGCAAACACACACACAACACACAGCACACACAGGCATACACAGGTACACGGACACACACACACAACACAACACACACCACAACACACAACAAACAAGACACACGACACACATAACACACATAACACACAGCACACATCGCACATCACACAGCACACAATACACAGCACACACAACATACAACACATACCACACATGCTTCACATACAACACATAACACCCAACACACACCACAACACACGACACACGACACACGACACACAGAACACACAACAAAACACACACACACATACCACGCAACACACAATGCACACCACACAACACACAACGCACAACACACACACACACACGCCACACACACAACACACAACACCACACACATTCACATTCACACGCATTCACGCACACACTGGCGCACAATCACACACATTCACATTCGCGCACACACACACTCACACATATTCACACACCACCACCCACACCAAAACCACCCACACCACCCACACCACCTACACACCCATACACCCACGCACCCACCGACACACACACACACACCCACCCACACCCACACACCTACACACCCACCCACACACACACACATCCACACACCCACACACACACAGACACCCGCCCACACACAAACGCACGCACACATACGCACCGCGCGCAAGCTTGCACGCACGCGCACACACATAAGCACACACAAACATACAAGCGCACACATAGGCAGACCCACCGACAGACACACAGACGGACACACAGACGGACACACAGACAGACAGACACACAAGAATACACACAAGCATAACCACAGACAAACACACGGGCACACACACGGACAGATATACAGACAGACCGCGAGCCAGACCCAGAGGCAGACAGCTAGACAGACAGAGAAACACAGAGAGACACAGAGAGACACACAGACGGACACAGAGAGAGACACAGAGAAAGAGAGAGAGAGAGAGAGAGACAAAGAGATAGAGACTTTTTTCCGTCGGCAGCGAGGCGGGACGATCCGCTCCAGCGTGGCAGCGATGCAGGGGCACTACAAAGCGAATTGGCCGGCATGCAGGAGGAGGGAGAAGGAAGGGACGAGCGGCCGCGGGGAGGGAAGGGCGAGCACTCAGAGGCGGAAGACTTCCGTCATGCGCAGCCAGGGCGGCCCGCGGGAGGCGGGGACGGCGTCCGGGGGACCGGAGCGCCAGCCAAGCAGACCGCGTCAGCAGGCGCGATGCGCCGGGCAAGGGCGAACAGCGTACAGAGACGACACAGAAACACACAGAAAGACAGACGGAGAGACACAACGAGACAGACAGAGATACGCACAGAGAGCCGCACAGAGGGACACACAGAGAGACACAGAGAGGCACACAGAGAGACACACAGAGAGACACACACAGAGAGACACACACACAGAGAGACACAAAGAGAAACCCAGAGAGGTACAGAGAGACACACACACACAAAGAGTGACGCACAGCGAGGTGCATTGAGGGACACACAGAGAACACACACAGAGAACACACACAGAGACACGCAGAGAGACACACACACGGACTCACAGAGACACGCACAGAGAGACACACAAGGAGACCCACAGACAGACAGAGAGAGAGAGAGAGAGAGACACAGAGAGAGGCACACAGAGAGACACACAGCGAGACACACACACACAAAGACACACAGACAGACAGACAGGACGCTTCACAGGGAGACACAAAGGTAGACACACACAGAGAGACGCACAGAGAGACACACAGAGAAACACACAGACACACGCAGACACACACACGGTGACACACAAAGACCCACACAGACGAACACCAGACCCACATCAGGCACACACCAGACACACCCAGACACAACAAGACATGCACAGACACACACAAAAGTACGTATACACAGACACACACTCACACGGACATACACACACCGACACACACAGACACACATATACATATAGATACACACAGAAACACGCAGACACACACACAGACACACACACAGACACACGCAGGCACACGCAGACACAGGCACACCCACACACACACACCTATGCGCACCCACGCACACCCACACACGCACACACACACACACGCACACACACGCACACACACACACACACACGCATGCACACACACATACGCACATGCACAGCATACGCACACGCATACGCATACGCACACGCAAACGCACACGCATACGCACACGCACGCCTACCCACATACGGAAACACACACACATAAACACAACCACAAACACACATAACACAACCACGCACGGAAACACACACACAAACAAAAACACGCGTACAAACGCACACACATATGGAAACACAACTACAATCACACACACACACGCACTCTTTTGGCGTCGCGGCTCCGCGCGCGGCGACAGAACGTAGAACATCGAGTGCAAATGGTGGAACGCGCGCGTCTACGTCTGGCTGAGCTCTCAGAGACCGCTCAGGGTCTCGCTGCCGACGGCAGTCATACACACGCACTCACACTCACACACAAGCACACAGACGCAGACACACAGACACACACACAGACACATATACACAGACACACACACAGACACACACAGACATACACTCAGATACCGACACATGCTTACACACAGACACAACGACACACATACACACTCAAACTTACACACAGACACACACACAAGCACGCAAACAGACACACACAGACACACACAGACACTCAGCACACACACACACACACACTTTGCCACACAGACACGCACAGACACAGACACAGAAACACATAGACAAATTCATATAAGCAGACAGACACACACAGGCAAACACACAGAAACACACAGACACACAGACACACACCGACACTTACTCTGACACACACACAGACACACACAGACACAGGGACACACATTCAATGTGCCACAGAGGTATGGAGACACAGAGCCACAAAGACACAAGCACACAAACACGCATAAACACACACACACACACGCAAACACACACATGCACACACACGCACTCACACTCACACAACACACACACACCACACATAAAACACGTACAACACACAACAGACACAACACACAACACACAACACACATGCACACACACGTGCGCACACGCACACACAACACACAACACACAACACACAATACACACACCACACACACACACACACTTTTTGGCGCCCCGGCCCCGCGCGCGGCGACGGGCGGCGTAGAACATCGAGTGCAAGCGGTGGAACGCGCGCGTCTACGTGCGGCCGAGCTCACGCACACAGTGGTGCGCACGACAAGCACACACACACACGCCCATCGACACACACAAACACATACACGCATACATACATACACACAAACACACACACCCACACACAAGGAACACACAAACACAACCACAAACACACAATCACAGTCACACACGGAAACATACAGAAACAAACACACGCGTGCAAACGCACACACATACATTCACACACACACACGGAAACGCAAACAAAAGCCACGCCAATCCCGCGGGCGATCGGCAGGCAGTGGAGCCCGGAGGAGCCGTGGCGCCTGCGATCGTGGCCTCTCCAGTCAAGGCCTCGGCCCGCGGCGCGCTGTGCAGGCTTTTGCGCCGACGAGGCGCAATGCAGGCATTGCAGATTCGATGGTTGCGCTCTCTGTCGCATCCTCTCCAGGCCGACTGAATTTTTCTCGTGCTCGCCGCGCCGTCTGTTCTAGCGCTCAGAGCCGTCCGCCGCCCTCGCGCTTCTGTGCGTTGGGTCGCCTGGGGCTCAGGGCTGGGCCTCCCTTCGCTGGGGAGGGTGGCGGTTGCTACAATTGTACCCCCCTTGGTTCTCGGGGTGAGAGCCTTCAGCAAAACGGCGCACATACCGCCTCACTGCCGAGTCCGACCGACACATCCCCTCCGCCACTTCCTCCTCCTCCTCCTCCTCCTCCTCCTCCTCCTCCTATGTACGCAGCTCATCTTTTCGGATTGCGCAGAACACGATGGGGTCTTTTGTGGAGTTGCAGGTCGGCTAGGACACGCGTCCGCGGAGAGCGAAGCAATCAGCGCAATGGTAAGGGGTGGGAGGGAGGGATGGGATGTCAGATGTGGCGCGAGCGCAACAAGCTCACCCCCCGCCCCCTCTCTTATCCTCTTGTCTCCTCAGGGCCGCCGCAGCGCCGCAAACGGACCCCGCTGTCGGCGGCGTACGGGGTCCTCGATACCGCCGCGCTCTCCGCGACGGCGCGCGCTCTCGAGAAGGCAGCGAGAGGGGGCCTCCACCTCCACCTCCGCTACCTCCCCACTCCCTTCTCCTGTCCCCCCCCCATCCCCCCTCCCCCCTCACTCCTCCTCCCCCTCCTCCTCCTCCTCCTCCTCCTCCTCCTTCTTCCCTTCCTCGAAAAAAAAAAGCGGCCTGAGGTCCACGGCGTGGCTCACCTGGCTGAAAGCCGCGGCGAGCGCGGCGCGCGCCCCCCCCCCCGAACGATCAGCGTGGTGCAACCTAGGTGGTGCAATCCACTTTGGCTGTCCTGATGCTGTCCTCTCCGCTGTGCAAACATCCCACCCTCCCACCCGCAACCTGGTCGCAAGACCTTTTAAGACCGTGACGGTAGGCACCACATGGCATTTGGCAACGACACTGACGCCGACGACGACAACGACGACGACGACGCCGACGACACCGACGACGACTCGGACGCCGACGACGACGACGACGCCGACGCCGACGACGACGCCGACGCCGACGCCGACGACGACGCCGACGACGACGCCGACGAAATAGGAGGGACGACGACGAGACGCCGACGACGGACGACGACGACGACGACGAGGGAGGAGGAAGGACGACCACAGCGACAACGACGATGGAAACGACGACGACGACGCCAAAGAGGACGACGACGGCGTCGACGAGGAAAGACAAGCTGATCACGGCGACGACGATGACGGCGTCTTCGCGTCGGTGATGCAGGTTTTCGAAGAAATTCGAAATGCGCGCGCGGCAGACGCGCGATAGTGGCTCGCATGGTATTATTTGACAAGGATCGTACCACCCCAGCACGCGCGCAAAGGCGTTCGAACGATTGGGATACGCGCGCGGTTGAAGCCCGTTTGGTAGCATGTTATGAAATTGTTGAACAACCTTTGGTTTTCTTAAGGATTCGCAAAAGCGCGCACGTTTGTTTGGTTTTTGACACTTCGCGTTGCAAGACCATGTGACTTTTCTATGTTTTTTTGGACCGCTGATTTTGAATTCCTTCCGAAACCCAAGGTTCCTGAAGGATTTCGGCATGCGCGCGCTACGACGCGCGCGTGTGCACCACGGTTCTTCTTTTGCGAGGGGTTCTCGCGACGGCACGCGCGCAAAGGCGTTCGAACGATTTCGGCATGCGCGCGCGAAGCCTGTTTGGTAGCAGGTTCGGAAATGTTGCAAGCCGTTTGGTTTACTTAAGAATTCGCAAGAGCGCACGCACTTTTTTCTTCTTTTTGTGTAACCAGTGTTGCGAAATCTGTATATATATAAACATAAATATACAATAAAGACATTCGATTTTGAAATCCTACCGACACCGAAGGTTTTTGAAGGATTCCGGCATGCGCGCGCGACGATGCGCGCGTGCACTTCGTCTCATCTGTTGCGAAAGATTCTTGAAAATTTATGACTTCTGATAAGCGGGTGTGCGCGTGTAGTATTTGTTGCAAGGGATGGCGGGGGGGGCGATACCGGCTCCCCTGGGATAGCGTATATTCATACTTAGGATGGACGATGGGGCAGAGACATATGTAGATTGTACAACGAAAAGGGGGATCGATAACTCCGAAAGAACGCGTTTCACGGGCGCTTGCCTTTGGAACATTCGGCGGCGCGTTTCAAACCGGGGGGTGGGCCCCTCCCCCAACACTCGGCGCCGTCGATCAAAACCAAGGTGGTGCCCTCCCCCCCAAGCTCTCCCCCCCCTCCCGACCCCCCCCCTCTCCCCCTCCTCCCAGGGGGGGGGAAAAGGGGGTTCACCCCCCCCCCCTTCCCAGGGGGGGGGGTTCAAACCCCCCCCCTCCCACCCGTCCCCCTCGGCGCCAGCGCCGGCGCCAGCGCTGGCGGCCGCCAGCAGCGCCCACAGCGGGGACACAGCGACGATGACCAGAGGCAGCTCCAGGAGGGGGGGGAGGTTCAAACATTCCCCTCCGCCCCCTCCGGCGCGAAGGGGGGGGGCAACCCCTCCCCCGCCTCGCGCCGGCGCTGGCGCCGGCGACGGCGGGGACGCAGCGACGATTGCCACCACTACCACCAACACCACCATTACCACCACCACCGCCGCCTCAACCCACCACCACCAACACCACCACTACCACCAACAGCACCACACAACCAACACCACCACCACCACAGCCACAACCACCACCACAACCACCACCACAACTCACCATCACCACCACCACCACCGCAAAAACCCACCACCACTACCACAACCACCACCACAATCTACCACACCACCACCACCACCGTCACAACCAGCACCACTACCAGCAGCACAACCCACCACCACCACAAACCAACACACCACCACCAACACCACCGCCACCACCACCAGCACCACTTCCACAAACCACCGCCGCAACCACAACCCACCACCACCGGCACCACCACAAACCACCACCACACCACCACCAAACCACCACCACAACCACCACAACCCACCACCACCACCGCCACCACATACCACCACAACACCACCACCAAACCACCACCACCACCAACCGCCACAACCACCACCACCACCACAACAAACCACCACACCACCACCACCACAACCACCACCACCGCTACCGCCACCACCGCCACTACCCACCACCACCACCACAACCACCACCACCACCACCACCGTCGTCCTCGTCGACGCTCCCCGCCGCCGTCGCCAGCCGCCGCCGACGCAAACGCCGGCCCGAGGAGAGGGGAAACAAGGGGGGGGCTGAACCCCCCCCCGTCACGGAAGGACGGGGGGGGGTCTGCATGCGTGGGCCGAATCCCAACCAACTGGGCCCAATCCCAACCAACTGGGACCAATCCCAACCAGTGCTAAAAGCAAACTGGGCCCGATCCCAACCTGCTTGGGATAGCCTCACAATAAGATTTTAATTGTAGAGAAGCCCAAAACGACTGTGAAAACCAAGTGGCACCTCTCATGTTAACGCAGAGGTTCTGGAAACCAACATACGTGCCAGAGTCGGAATTGGTCTCAGTTTTGGACTGCGCAAGAACACTATGTTAAGATGAGCAAGAGGGCACCGAAGCGTAAGCAAAACCGCACCGAATTGCATCGATTCTAAAATATGCGAAACTGATCCTCCGAGTAGTAGTAGTAGTAGTAATAGTAGTAGTAGTAGTAGTAGTAGTAGTAGTAGTAGTAGTAGTCGTAGTCGTAGTAGGAGTAGTAGTCGTAGTAGTAGTAGTAGTAGTAGTAGTAGTAGTAGTAGTAGTAGTAGTAGTAGTAGTAGTCGTAGTAGTCGTAGTATTAATAGTCGTAGTCGTGGTCGTGGTCGTAGTAGTAGTAGTAGTAGTAGTAGTAGTAGTAGTAGTAATAGTAGTAGTAGTAGTAGTAGAAGTAGTAGTAGTAGTAGTGGTAGTAGTAGTACTACTACTACTACCAGTAGTAGCAGTAGTAGTAACACTGTATAGGGATCCTGAGGATCCCCGAAGGAAACCGGAGGAATCCGGAAGAATTCCAAAGAATCCTAAGGAATCATATGGATCCTGGATCCTGAAGATTCCCGAAGGAATCCGAAGGAATCCTGAGGAATGCAAAAGAATCCGAAGGAATCCGGAGGAATTCCGAAGAACCTGAAGGAATCCTGAGGAATTCCGAAGAATCCTATCCATGGTTGTAATTGGTCTCATTTCTGGTTGGAATTGGTCTCATTTCTGGTTGCAATTCGCTCCGAACGGTTGGAATTGCGACCAGTCGGTTGTAATTCATTCCATTTCGGTTCCCCCCCCCCCCCCCCCTTCCAAGCGACCACAAAACGCGCTCTTTCATACGTCCGGATGGGGGGAGGGCGGTACATTTTTTTTTTTTTTTTTTTTTTTGTAGAATTATCCCAGTGCGACCCTAACTAGGAGATGGAGCCCCTAGGAAAGCAGCATAAGCTGAGCTATTCTAAGCTAAGCTAAGCTAAGCAAGCTAAGCTAAACTAAGCTAAGCTGAGCTAAGATGAGATAAGCCAAGCTAAGCTAAGCTAAGCTAGGCTAGGCTAAGCTAAGCTAAGATGATATAAGTCATGCTAGGCTAAGCTAAGCTAAGCTAAGCTGAGATGATATAAGCTAAGCTAAGCTAAGCTAGGCTAAGCTAAGCTAGGATGATATAAGCTAAGCTAAGTTAAGCTAAGCTAAGGTAAGCTGAGCTGAGCTAAGCTAAGATGAGATAGGCTCAGCTAAACTAAGCTAAGCTAAGATGAAATAAGTAACGCGAAGGTAAGGGAACGTCACTGGGGGAACCGCGGGGCGGATGCCGGGGGAACCGCCTGGGGCGTGCCCCACTGCCCGGCCCTTTAAGCACACAGAGTAATAACCCTCCCAGGCAGAGCCTAGGTAGGGAAAAGAGAACCAATCACTTGCTCAACTTGAACTTGTCCTCTCCGCTGATGGCGCAAACATCCCACCCACCCACCCGCAACTTGGTTTGCAAACCCCACGCGGAAGCGATTGCGATGAGTGCTTGGTGTTGGCTGGTGCATCTCTGCGGCCGCGCTAGCCCGCGCGTGTTCGCGCGCGGAGCGGCCAGTTAGCTTGGCGCGACAAACGCGAACGAGGTAGCGCTGACCGCTCGGCACATTCAAGCGGGCATTTCAGTGCGAGTTGGCGACTTGGGCGGGCGCGGTATTATGGCAACGTCGACAACGGTAGACACGACGATGATAGTAACGATGCTGGTGGCGATGCTGACAGCGACGACGGGGCAGCCAGTGACGGCGCCGATGCTGATCGCGCCGACGACGATGACGGCGTCTTCGCGTTTCGCGTCGGCGATGAAGGTTTTGGAAGGAGTTCGACACGCGCGCGGCAGACTCGCGAGAGTGGCCTGCATGTAATAATTTGACACGGATCGTGCATACTTTGACACGGATCGTGCCACTCTGGCACGCGCGCAAGGGCGGCATAACGATTTCGACACGCGCGCGCGAAGCCCGTTCGGTAGCATTTTCGGGAAAGGTTGAACAACAAACAGTGGTTTGCTTAAGAATTCGCAAGAGCGCGCGCGCAATTTTTTTTTGGTTTGTTTTTTGTTGTTTTGTTTTGTTGCGTGCATATAAATAAATATAATTAGCAATATTTTTTGGTATTATTATTATAAAAAGCCGTGTTGCGAAACCGTGTGTTGTTTGTACGTTTTTTTGAACACTCGATTTTAAAATCCCACCAGCACCGCAGGTTTTTGGAGGATTTCGGCATGCGCGCGCGACGACGCGCGCGTGTGCACTTTGTCTCTTTTTTCGCAAGGGATTGTTGAATACTTGTGACTTTTGAAAAACGACTGTGCGCACATAGTATGTTTTTGCAGAGGATGGCGGGGGG